TAAATGATTAGCGGTAATAAAAGCCGAGGGAGGTCAACAGTGATCACTGACTGTTTTAGGAGCTTTTTGAGATCAAATAGAAGAAAATACATAACATTAAACAGGTCAACAACACAAAAGCCATATTAAACGCAGACTACTTTAGACCCGGAAGTAGGATTCGTCGCGTCATCACTGAACAACCGGATATGCTTTTCTATGTTTATACTTCGTTCTGTACCTGTTTGATTTCACCCGGTCCTTATAATGGTGTGTAATCAGTCAGTTTGCGTTTAGCTTTCCTTAAATACAATGCTACTACTGCACATTCACCTAATGTATATAATATATAATGTTCTTCGTCTCTCCCCCCCTTTTGCACAAATCGAGGAGCGTATCAGGTTACAATTTCACTGTGTGTTATACTTGTATAACTATGCATGTGACGAATAAAGAACCTTGAACCTTGAAATAGAAATTCTTTAGAAATCACTGCCGACCTTCAGGCCACTTAAAAGTTTTTTTTTTCACTTCCAGCATGACAAGCAAGTAAAGCAGGCTTTATCACAGACAGCGCACCATCCCCATGATTAATCATATTCGCATATGGCAATCAACTCGAAGATGGACATCTGGAGGTAAAACAGTATTAAGTCAGAAGTTTGTCTCTTTTGAATAATGTTTTAACTTCTGTTCTGCTAACTCCTTTAGCCTTCATATATGTGTGAAAACAGTTAAGCTAACAGAAGGTGCACAATTTGACCTTTACTGAATTCAATGCCCAATGTGGAGGGTCATGTTAGGCTCGTGGGTGCACGTTGGAGAGTAAAAACCTTAGCCAGCTGCTGGAGCTGTTGGAGTGGTGCCGCTAACCGCGATGTCCAGATCAAAGTTTTGAGATTTCAGAAACCTCAGATCCTGACTGTCAGACATGTTTATCAGAGCCAGGAGACGACTCAGCATGAGCTCTGTTTGACTGATGGATGACAGTAAAAAGCAGCTGAAACACTTCCTGTGTGCACACACCTTTAGCCTCCTCCCGCCCCTTCCTAATCTGTCCCTGGGGTTTTTGTCTCTGTAACGTTAACAGTGAGCGCGCAGCCTGCTGGACGTTTAAGCTGAATTCTGCTGCCTGCTTTAGTCCTGCTGAGCGAATTTCCGTTCGGGCTTTATGTCCCTTTACTGGAACAACTGTATTTCTTTCCCACTGCTCCGAGTCACTTTCACAACTTTCATTACCTCTCTGAGGGCAGGCGGAGCGCGCCGGCGGGGGAGATGGGTGAATATCGCCTAACTATAACCCGCCGTCCCCAGAGTGTGGAGGTCAATGAGATTAACCTATAGCTCCGTTTTCCTTCATTACGCACTCCAAATTACACCCACTTACAGACAAGAGACAGAAAGAGGAAATCGTATATGGGCTGATATCTATTTAAAATCTAATCCCTTTGGGTGAATTGCTCAGCCTTTCCATTTCTCTTATGTTTCTGCCTATTGCCTCCGGGCTCCGCTGTGCCGTGGTGCGCTGCGGCACCGTTCAGGAAGGTGCTATAACCTCGCCCCTGTTCATATTAACTTTAGATTCATCTGCGCTAATATAGGAGACACTTAGGATTATAACTCCCTCTTTTCTGCTGTTATTGCTCAGTTAAACATTACACGCTCGTAGCCTATTGCTCCGCTGGCATGCGCTCGCTCGGGTTATTTACTGTTGCTTCTTTTTCTAAGTGGGAGATTATCAGCGTCCAGATTGTCTTTTGTCCTCCCCGCTGCCCCGCCGTGTTTGGTGATTTAGCAGAAACGTATTGTACTGAGTTGTAAACACTATGTGGAGGGAGGATATATGTCCTGGTTTAGTGTTTCCTGTCTGTCGCTGAGGTTTGGCTTGGAATCTGGAGAAAGAGCAATTGTTCGCCAACACGCAACCACAACAAGACGTTTTATTATAGCTGACCCGCTCTCTGTATACAGCTTCTATAGCATGACGGATGCACGGCGCTCTGATCCGGGGAGACTCCGACGTGGTGCTCTGCAGGGACGCTGCCCTAATCAGATTTCACAATTTTGTTTTTGAATGTGGCTCACTTTAAGAATAATGTTCTCCATGATGTGTCGTGCAAACACTGCTCGGACAATAAGATAAACACTGGCTATAAACACGCTCTTTGATATGCAGCTAAACCGAGCTCCGACTGGATTATCTGATCCCAAACTGCAGGTGCACGGGTCGACATTTCATATGTCACAGCCAACAGTCTGGAAAATGACAGCATATACAAAACACAGGAAAGTTGCTTGGATAGAGAGGAAGTTAAAATGTGGCAGACATTATATACAGAGGGGTGGGCGGGGGGCTGATGCCCGTTGCTCCATCCACCTTTGTTTTCAGCGGTTTCAGAGATGACTCACATGCTTCAAAGTCTTCTTTTGTGCCATGTTTACTTTATTTTTTCTTTTGATAAAATTATATTTATTGGAGCCACTCGAGCGTCCTCACAGGCTGCAGGAATCAAACTTTCCATCTCAGCGTCACGCTGCTGCTGCTGCTAGTTTTCAGCCTTTTATAGTGAATTTCATCTGAAAGCCGAGGACGATGGATTTTTGCTCTTTACTGCTGATTTTTAAAGATTCAGTCACCTCTAACCCTAACCCTAACCCTCTCGACACGTGTTCTCCCAATGACTGAGTTGGTGGCCAGGCCGCTCTGCAGAGAGTCCACGTCCTCCATCTCAGACTTCAGCTGGTCCTGTTCTGTGAGCCGGGAGGGGGCGTGGTCAGTTTAACCAGAACATGCCGCAGGCTGAGAACCTGGAGAATAATCGCTGCTGTCAACTACAATAATAAACGTCCGTGTGTCTCAGTCATTCAGGCCTTTGAAAGGTTACCTGTAACCACAGGTGTGGTAAGGGTCAGCCACAGAAACCAGGGCAGTGCCTTAGGTGGGTCTTTATCACGTTTATGGTTTGGTTTTCATGTTATCTGCTAAATTGATCAGTGATGCAGCCTCCAACTCAGGTTGTAAGTGATCACATGCAATTTATAATTTATTTAAAATTATATTTACCTATAAACCGGCACACTAGAATAAGGGGTAAAAGTAATTATACTGAAAATAAATCAAAGTACTGCATGAGTCAAGTATTTTTCATTTTCATAGTAATTCTGAGGTAAAACAAACAAATTGTCATAAGTACTCTGTACTTTACGGGACACGGACGAGTATTATGGAGTGGATTAATTCGGCCTTTTTACATCTTTACTTCATTATGCTGATGTGTGTGATGGATGCTCTGTTAGTCCTTTTATTTTCTCTGTGTGACCTCATCATGATGGAGCCAAGGAGTGCTTCCTCTTCAGGCAGGAAGAAGATCTTCAGTGTAAGATGGAGAAATATTGTTTGTTTTCCTGCAAAACTAATGATGCAGTACTTAAAATTACTTACAGATTTCATGCATTAAATATAGTTACTTATCGTACCGATCGTGGCTCCAGAGTTGGCAGTTCGTCTTGTAATTGGAAGGTCGCCGGTTCGAGCCCCGGCTCGGACAGTCTCAGTCGTTGTGTCCTCGGGCAAGACACTTCACCTACTGGTGATGGCCAGAGGGGCCGATGGCGCGATATGGCTGCCTCTCTTCTGTCAGCCTGCCCCAGGGCAGCTGTGGCTACAACCGTAGCTGCCTCCACCAGTGAGTGAATGAATAGTGGCATTGTAAAGCGCTATATAAATCCAATCCATTATTACTGACACATGACCTAAAATTAAAGTATCACTTATTGTTTCCTGTACGCACATCATCACATTGCAGGCGAGTGTGTGCTGTATTATAAAGTGTAGATGTGAACATTTCAGATGCATCACCTGCTCTGCCACTAACTCGTCCTCTGGTACAGGTTAACCATTAGAGGAGTGGATCTGGAAGTGCCTCGGAATTCTTTCAGGAGGAACAGTGCTGCGGATGTATGGAATACCTGGATAAGATGGGCAGAACTAAAAAGCTCTGTAGTCGAGTACAAAAACCAAAATCAGCCAAACAGGAATACTGTGAGAGACTAAAGAAGTCGACTGGATGAGTGAGTCTCAGATTGTGCATGGAGACAGCGATGAGCTCTTTGGCCCATCGAGACCACCTCCTCTTTACCCGTACACATCGGTACATAAGACGTGGTGTGACAGGAGTAGCTGCTCGGGCACAGAGCGCCCTCACTCACCTTTGATGCTCATTTAGTTTCTAAGCAGCCTGAAATGTGATGGAAACCTTTGAGCCCAGTGCGGAGCGTCGGGGGTTACTGCTGGGTGGATTTCAGAGGGGAAAGACGAAAAGCAGCTGAAGCCACGAGCAGAGTGTGATCTAAAACATCGGTTCATAAAACGTGCATCAGCAGTTTTACCTGAAGTGGATCCAGGGGGTAGCGGGTCCACTCTGCAGGTTACCAAGGGCCCCCGTGTTCCTGTTTTAAGGTTTTCCATAAACAAAAGGCAGCTGTGATTATAAGGACACATCGTGAGCGTGCTGCATGCCTCGGCCTAAATTGATGCTGTAGTTTTAATTATTTTACGCTCTTATCTGCGCTTCCTCTAAGCTGAAAGTTTAGGGAGCCATTATAAATTGTTCACACTGACCAAATATCTTGTCCTCCATCAGCCTCGGCTTTACTTGCAGGGATTTTTGCTCAGCTTTTGGTTAATTAAAGCATCTGGACTCTGTGCTCTTTAAAGCTGCGTCCACTTGTAGCAAGCGTCACACGGACGTGCCCCCTGCATAGTAATTATCATTAAGAGCACAGCTCAGATATGGACGGCGACAATAGGAAGCCAGCTCGGGATTATCTGAACAGCGGCGCCGCCGATGAGCACGTGCAACGTTTATCACTGAGAGATGGTGTGACCGATGGAGCGTCGTCAGGGTGGGTGTGACAGAGGAGGCAGCAACCTGGCTCGTGTAACTTCCTGGTTATGAATCGCCTCCGTGGAAAGGTCAGCGCCATGACAACCCTGTAATGGATGTCACTGACGTCCAATTAAGTTCTTTAAAAAAGGCGCCTCGGTGCGTGCTTATTAAATATAAACGGGCTGAATCAAAAGTCCAGGCCCTTCTCCTCCGACTCGGACAACCTGAAGCATTTCTTCTGTCTTAATTATTCATGCTGTGGATTTCAGGGGTGAGGGGGAGCTGAACACAAACAGGCAGACGCTCATATTTTCAGACATTTCAAACCTTTTCCCCCTCACTTTGTCTGTGCGGATAAATAGAAGCGAGCAAAGAACAACACTCCTGTGCTTTGAGAAATGCAAATATTTGTTGCCAGGTTGCTGAAGCTTTCTTCCTCAGATCTCTCTCACTGTCTCGCCCAGTCCCCCCTCCTCATACCCACACAGCTACGTTGAGCAAACCGGTGCATGCAGTCAGGTGGTGAATAGGAGGGTTTTCTCCGTGTGTTATTCGGCCCTTTGATGCACGCGTGCAGAAGCTTCCTCCGGTCCAACAGGAAAAAGTCCTCTCACTTTTTAAGCCTACCTTTGGTTGAACTTGTGCTTCTCTTTTTTTCCTCCACGTCTTGTGTATCCACTCTGAAATTATAGATGGGGATAATAATAATAATGTCATTTTGCACCGGAATCTTAGTCATTACCTGCAGT